GGCTGAGAGTATCTGTGCATATGCGTGTTGGGGTGGGTGGTGTCCACTGGCTCAGGCACCCCTCTAGTCACCAGAATGGAGGTATGCAAACAGTGGGGTGCCAATTAACAGATACCAAAAAAAAAATCAGAACAAAACCTACAAAGTGTATTGTCCATGTTTGCTCTGAGGTTTCTGTGGTGTTATTCTGTGGTGGGTCTTTTCCTCTGCTTGGTCTTGCTGTTTGGTCTCGTCCAAGTTGTCAACTTGGGCCGCTGAGCCAGGCAGATTCAAAAGTATGCGATCTCTTACTTCTGCTACAAGTTCCACTAGCTACAAGCCTTCAAAGTTTCAAAATATTCCTACCTATGTGGTTCAAAGTTTTGGAGCTCTGCCCTGAACCCACTTTGCCTGGTTTTTGTGGTATTGCTGAAGGTGAACTTCACTGCACCTCCACCTTATCCACCATCAAGCCCCGCCTCCCTCATTCCTCCATAGGGTTTTTAATGGTTGATTTTTTGGAAGTAGATGGCCAGGTCTTTCTTCAGAGGTTCTTTTGGAGGGATCTGAAGCCCCAATTTTTCAATCAGCAACTATACACATTAAACATTTGTATCTCTCAAACACAACATGACCATAACCAAATTTCTCATCTTCATCTTTACATCTAGTTTTAGAATGTTCTTTCACTAATGCCACCACTATCCAAACCCAGAAAAACAGATAGTAAAACTTGAGTTATCCTTCACTCTCCACCAATCCTTCACTCAATCTTCAAGTTCTTTCAGTTGTCTCTTAAGTGTCTCTCAATTTTGTTTCTTTCCTCAACTCCCCTGCATCTCCTCTCTTACAGTTCAAATTCCCAAAGTTTGGTTAGTGGAGAAATCTGCCTGGATTCGACACTTGAATTTTACTGAGTGACTTTGGGCAAGTTACTCTTTAACTAAACTGATTTTTTCATCTGTAAATTGAGAGAACTGTTTTCTTCATAGAGCTTTGAGTATTAAATAAAGATTATCAGTGGAATGTTGAGCACAGTATCTAAGACATTAAGTGCTCAGTAAATCTACTCTAGCATCTCTAGCGACACTATATACGGTTCCTAAGGAGCACTTGGCAAGTTTGAACCTCCGACCTTGTAGTTTGAACCAACCTTGTGGTCGAGTGCTTATCCTACAGTGTCATACCAGGATTTCCATCTTATGCCTAGATTACTGAACTTGTGTTCCATTTTCCCATGATTCTTCTTGCTCCTCTCCAATCTTCTGACCACAATAGAACTAGAAAGAGATTTAAACAGGCAAGCCTTACCATGTACTCCTCTCTCTCCCTCAAAACCAACAAATAGGGCTTTTAGAGTAAAAGCTGACTCATCTCTTACCATTGTTACACATTAAAGCCTTACTGTAACTAAACTGACTTTAAGTTCCTTATATCAATCATGTGCACTCCATAACGTTTTTTAATCCATATTTCCCATTCCTGAATGCCAGCCCCTTGCCCCCATATAGTCAGTTTAGTCCTAGTCACCCTTCAGACCTCAGATGAAAAGTCACTTCCTCTCTGATTAGGTTTGTTGTTGTTGTTATGTGCCATCGAGTTGGTTTTGACCCATAGCGACCATATATAGGGTTTCCAAGGAGCAAGTGGTGAGCTTGAACCACTGACCTTGTAGTTCAAATGGCTTTGCAGTCTGGTGCATTAACCTACAGCGCCACACAAGGACTTAGGTCCCTCTATTTTGCATTCTCATTGTACTATGTTCCTCTTGGTCCAAGAATGCCTCAGTTTGCAATTAAACATTTAAATGACAAACTACTAATTATTATTACTATATATCTACTTGTGTGTTCCCTCCAACAGGCACCTCAAACTGGCTTCTTAATATAGAGGTTTTTCAGGAGCAGCAGGTGATTTTGAACTACCAACCTCTCGGTTAGCCTCCACTCAAATATGTCCTGTTCAATAATATCTCCTTCATCTCAGAAAACAGTAGCACCATTCATTCTTCAAGTTGCTCTGGACAAAAACCTTGAATTCTCTCTGTCATACTTCTTTTTCTTTCATACTCGTCATTCATCAGCAAATCTTACTGCCTTCCCAGAATTCCACCACTTTTTTGATTATTAGCATAGTGGTTACAAATCAGGCTGCTAACCTCAAGGTCGGCAGTTCGAAATTACCAGCGGTTTAGCGGGAGAAAGATGAGGCATTCTGCTCCTATAAACATTTACAACCTCGGAAACCCTGTGCAGGGTCCCTATGAGTCAGAACTGACTCCATGGTACTTAACAACAACAACTCTCCATGGTCCAAGCCACGCCATTTCTTTCTGTATGGTAATGCCTAACACATCTCCCTGCTTTGGTTTTTGCTTCCACCGTCCTGCTTCAACCTATTTGCAACAAGTCAGCTAGATTATCCTTTAACTGTATGCCAGGTAATGACACTCCTCTGTTGAAACCTTCCAATGACTTGCCATCTCACTCAGAATAAAAGTCAAAGTATTTCCAGTAGCCAGTAAGGTCCTATGCATTCTGACCATGCATCAAACCCTCCCTCCAAACTTGTTGACCACATTTTCTTTTCTCCTCCCCATCTCCTAAGCAGCTCCAGCCACACATGACTGTGTTCAATCCCATACACATCAAGCCTGCTACCAACTTTGGGTCTTTTCCTCTGTTTGGAAATGCTCAGATCACTCATGAAGAGCATCACTGACCATATTACGGAAAATTTCAACACTCCCAGCTCATACACAAATCTCAATTTCCTTTCCACAGCACTTAGCACTAACATGCTATATATTTTATCTACATAGTGTATCTACTTAGTGTATCCTGGTGTGGCACTATAGGATAAGCACTGAACTGCTAGCCACCAGGTGCTCCTTGGAAAGCCGAAACAGGGTTGCTGTGAGTCAGAATTGACTCTATGGCACTTAACAACAATAACAAGTGTATCTCTCACATTAGAATATGAGCTCCAGATGAGAGAAGGGGTTGTCCATTTTGTTGCTACATCCCCAGAACCCAAAGCTGCTTAATAGTAGGTATTCAACATTCCTTCAGTTAAATGCCAACAGCAACCATATTAGCTTTGTAGTTGAAAGGTACCACACAGATGAGTTAAGGAAGCAATCTTCTAGAAGAAACAACATGGTTGACTACTCTGGCCTCTTTTAGCTACTAAAGCTAAAAAGGTATTTTAAAAATACTGGCATTATGATCCAAGATGTTTCTTCTGTATCTTTAAAGCAGAGACGATAAAACAGCTGCAAAGTTGTCAGAATTAAACAAGATCATGGATATGATCATTTTTAAAAAATTGCTTGATTACTGCGTTTTTTAGTGCTTTCAAACAGCTTTGCAAACTCAGGCTCTTTGATCAAGCTTCAAGGATTCAGCAGAGGATGTTTTCCTCTATAAAAATTTTAAATGCATATAGATAAAACAAATAAAAGAGAAGTTATCTGAGAAAGTCATTTATTGTTGTTAGTTTTTTACTTAGGGCTTTTGGCTGAATTTAGGTTAAAAATGGACTCTGTTAAGCAAATTGGAAAATAATGATTTCCCCCTATATGTTACAGAAAAGAAAGTAAGCCAGCAGAGGAGTATCATTCTTTTCTTTTAGGACAGAACAGTTCTTCACAAACTGAGCCAAGTAGAAACTTCATGATCCTATAGCACCATACTCGAGTGTAGTTATTCTTTGAATATTGAGCTACCAATCGTATTTGGGAAATCCTCAAATTAAAAAATAGTTTTGAAACAATATCACAACAGTCCTCTTCTAATCAAACATCACAGCTTTTAAAATAAAGGTGTCATTAGACATGTGGACACACCCACAGTATCACGAATGGAATTAATGTATAGTTATGCAAATCTACATCTGCCAGGCAAGGTTAAGTCCATTGCCTCAAAGACTGCACAGAGGAAATCCCTGTCTCCCCCTAGGCTCAAGCTTGGAGTGAGTGCGGTTAGTAGCTGCAGCTGGCATCCGAGGCAGGCCTTCCTGGTCTGCACAGCTCGCCCGTGTCTCCGGAAGCGCCAGCGCGTTGGACGGGAAAGCCCCAGCATCACCCAAAGAACAAGGGGCCTCTGGCGGCTCCAGCTCAACTTCGGGTACCACCGCCCGGGGGATGGGGGTGGGGGTAGTGGCTCTTTCGCCCTGCAGCATCTCGCGAGATTTCGCCGGCTTTATACAAGTACTGCGCGTTCAGAACTTAAAAAAAAAAGAAAGAAAGAAAGAAAGAAAAGCAAGCCGGCGAGATTCCTAGGAGCTACCGACGTGGTGGCAGCTGCCGCAGGAGCGTCTACTACCGGCGCGCGCCGAGGCAGGGCCTGCACGGCGTTTCGTCCGCCGGGCCGGGCGCCGTCTTGCAGCCCTGTGACTTGGGGCTTGCCAGTTCATTGACGCGCGGACCCAGGGACGGTAGAGGGGGAGGCTGCTTGGGCGCCCGCTCCTTTCAGCCGCAGAGTAGGGCGTGGGGAGGAGGTGGAAGAGTGGGAGGAGGACGACGAAGGGGAGGTAGCGGAGTAGAGATCTTCCCGGGGAAGGGGCGCGCGGCCGCGCCAGTCCCTTGATCACGCTGCTCACGGACTGGCTGGACGCGACCCCTGTGAAGTCATCTCTCCGGTGGGATTACGTTGAAGCCCCGGAGGGCCGGGACGCCGGGGGAGCGTACGCCGCGCGCCATTGCGGGACCGCGGGTGGGCGGGCTGAGGGGCGGAGGAGTCGCCGGCCCCGCCTCCCGCGTGCTGCAACCCGGACTGCAGTCACAGCGGCTCCGCGGAGGCTTTAAACAGCGGGGCCCGCCCCGAGCCCGCTTCACTCGCGCGCTGACTCGACTGCCGGCGGCGTTTGTGCCGGCCTGGGCTAGCGGCGGCAGGCGGCCGACTGAGTGAGCGACTCCTTCACCTGGCATTGTCACCGCGGCTATCGCCGTTCCGGAGCGAGGAGGGCCATTAGCCCGCGACGTCCGCCCGGCTCTTCGTGTTCGCAGGTGGTCGGGCAGGATGGAACCAGGGCCCACGGCGCCCTCCTCAGGCGCCCTAAGGCCGGCAGGGCCCGAGGAGACGCCGCCTGCCGCCGCGCTAGCCGCTGCCGGGGTGGACTTGCCCGGCACGGCCGTGCCCTCGGCGCCGGAGGATGCTGTGGCCGCGAGCCGGGGCGGCGGCGGGGTCCGCGGTGAAGGCGTCGCAGCAGCTGGGGATGGACTGGGACGACCTCTGGGGCCCACCCCGAGCCAGAGCCGCTTTCAGGTGGACCTGGTCTCCGAGAGTGCCGGGAGGGCTGCTGCTGCGGCGGCCGCTGCTGCGGCGGCGGCCGCCGGGACAGGGGGCAAGGAGACCCCCGCAGCCGAAAAGGCCACTGGAGGGAGCGGGCAGACCAAGGGCAGTGAGGAAGCCAAGGGCCGCTTCCGCGTGAACTTCGTGGATCCGGCTGCTTCCTCGGCAGACGAGAGCTTGTCTGATGCTGCGGGGATCGGCGGTGACGGACCTAACGTGAGCTTCCAGAACGGCGGGGACACGGTGCTGAGTGAGGGCAGTAGTCTGCACTCGGGCGGCGGCGGCAGCGGCAGCGGGCACCACCACCACTATTACTATGACACTCACACCAACACTTACTACCTGCGTACCTTTGGCCACAACACCATGGACGCCGTGCCGAGGATCGACCACTACCGGCACACCGTCGCGCAGCTGGGCGAAAAGCTGCTCCGTCCCAGTTTGGCGGAGCTCCACGACGAGCTGGAAAAGGTGAGCTTACCGGCTCCCTCCCCAACGCTCCTTCCTTCCCTCTTTCCTTCCCAGATCGCTGATCCGCGCTGACCCTGGGATGTGGCTGCAGCCCTCCCCGGGGGGAGGTGACGGGAATGAAAGCGCAAGGCTTTCTGCATCTCTGGATTCAGCTGTCAGGTTGGAATTGCAGAGGAATGTAACCTAATCTCGTCAAAGTTTTGCAGCGGGTTAGAGGCTGCACTTAACCGTCTCATCCAGTTATGTTTCTTTTACGTTTGCTTTCTCACCCAGGCTGCTTTGATGGCAGTATTGTTTGTGCCCACAACTCCCCTCATTGGAAGGAAGTGTTCAAGAGGTTTAGGTGTGGACATATTTAGGAAGAGAATGGAGCGCACCTACCATTTGTGCCCATTTTAAACTTATGTATATCCATTAGGGAGCCCTAGAGAAAGAACGTTTGTATTTTTAAGGAAAATCTTAATACAGGGTGTATTTGTGGTCTATGAATTATTAAACCTCAATTCTTGCAAACATGAATATGCAAAAGGTCGTAGAAATCATAAATCTTGGAATATGCTGTTCCTGATGATGCCATAAATTTTACTTGTAATATAAACCTTTTGAGAGGGGACTATATGGAGGTGGGGGATCAGGGTCTTTGGAAACAAAGAAACAAAAATTTTTTTTTTTTTTTTTTTAATGAAGAAGGTCTCGAAAGTTCTTCCTGTGTCTGCAAAAACAGCTATACATTTTGGACAGGACACCACCCCTATTTATTTTTTTCTCCCCTTATTTTTGTTTGTTTTGTTATTGTTGAGCTCATTAACTCTTCATTTCTGTAATTCTCTTTTTTATGGCCTCATAAGACTTATTTCTTTATGGTTCCTGGATCGTTAATTGAGATAACGTTGATGCTTGCTTTTGAGATTTAGTTAATAATTAACTTTTTTATGAGTCGGTATTGCCTTGAAGTCTGCATGTACAAGTGTATAATGACTATATTGATGGAATTCTGTAAATGGCCAAGTTGGTACCAGCAGGAAGAAATGATTATAGTTTGTTGTTGTTGTTGTTAAGTACCTTGGAATGGGTTCCGACTCATAGTGACCCTGCACAGGGTTTCCGAGGTTGCAAATCTTTACGGGAGCAGAAAGCCTCATCTTTCTTCTGCGGAACAGCTGGTAGTTTCGAACTGCTGACCTTGAGGTTAGCAGCCCAATTCGTAACCATTACGCTACCAGAGGTCTTTTTAAATCCAGAATGTAAGTGATTTATTTTGGAAATGATTGCTTTATTTCAGACATTAATTTCACAGAAGAGGATATTTGTCCCAAGGTTTGATAATGTAATATTCACTCAGTTTGAAATAATTACAAAGGTCCCAACTCTTACAGCTTATTGATTGTTTAAAAGCCTGACATCATTTAGTTCCTGGCATGATGCTGTAAGATTAGCACTGGGCTTTGAACTAGAAGGTTGGTGGTCCAAACCCACCAGCTGCTCCTCAGAAACCCTATATAGGGTCCCTAAGAGTTGGAACCAACGCAAGGGCATTTAACAAAAGTACTACTCCTATGCCATTGTAGTATTTTGTCTTGTCAGCAGCAAAACCACTTCTATTCATACTCCTTGTTTCTTTCAAATCTTATTACTTTCTTATGCAAGTCCAAAATCTGCAGACTAAAGTAGATACGAGGTGATAATTTTCCTTTTCTTTGAGTGTTTTACTATTGAAAATATTACACAGGTGTAATATTTCAGATTTCTTTAAAGCGGCACAGTTCTGTAGTAGTAGTAAAGCAATCAGCTTGATTTTTAGAAAGTTTGTTTTTAATTGTTTTAGAAAGACTTTAGAGACTTTGAAACTTGCTCTTGAATGTAAATTGTTGTTGTTAAGTGCCATCAAGTGGTTCTGACTCATAGTGACCCTGTATAGAATTTCCGTGGAGCGGCTGGTGGGATTGAACTATCGACCTTGTGATTAGCAGCCCAGTGCTTATCCTACAGCGCCACACCAGGCTGAAGCAAAAGAAGAAATCATTAAGTAAAAAAGCTGAACAGAAGATTTCAACAACCTTGAACTTCTATGCATTTTAGCAACTTTTTGTAATTTCAAATTCAGTTCTTTCAATTTACAAAGCTCTTCAAGTTTCATTCAGCTTTTTATAGTTGTATATGTGTGTGTGGTCTGATTGGTGGTGGTGGTGGTTATGTGCTGTGGAGTCATTTCCATCTCATAGCGACCCTGTACAGGGTTTCCGAAGGAGCTCTGGTAGTGTAGTGGTTACGAATCGGACTGTGAACCACAAGGTCAGCAGTTTGAAACCACCAGTTGTTCCGTGGGAGAAAGATGAGGCTTTCTACTCCCGTAAAGATTTACAGCCTCGGAAACCCTGCTGTTGTTGTTGTTATGTGCCTTGGAGCCGGTTCCGACTCATAGTGACCCTGTACAGGGTTTCTGAGTCTGTGAATCTTTACGGGAGCAGAAAGCCTCATCTTTCAAACTGCTGACCTTGCGGTCTGATTAGTAACCACTACACTACCAGAGCTCCTTGTGATCTGATTACAGTGTCTTAAAAATATATATACATCACCTGTTGAGCTGTGTGGTAGTTGAAGAAGTTACCCAAATGCCCCAGCCATTTCAGCTTTCAGTGTTATTGTGAATATTAGGAATCTAACATTTAAGATCAAGCTGTTAATGCTATTTGCTATCGAGTCGGTTCTGGCTCACAGCAACCCTGTATAGGGGCTTCCGAGGAGCAGTTGGTAGGTTTTACCTGTGGACCTTGTGTTTCGAAGCCCTGTGCTCTTCTACAGGTGCACACACTAATGTAGTTATTATTTCACTTTGTATTTGTCCCTCAGAAAGTAGTAGTGTTATATGTTAGGACTTCCATTTTAGATTCTCTCATATACTTAGTTGAATGTAATATGTAAATTAATGTGTTCGAGTTTTTTGTAACAGGCCGGTGGTGGTGGTGTTAAGTGCTGTTGAGGTGATTTCAACACCTAGTGACCCTATGTAGGGTTTCCAAGCAAGCAGCTGGTGAGTTTGAACCGCTGATCTTGTGGTTAGCAGTCTAGTGCTTATCTATGATGTTTTATTTGTATATAAAATAATACATAGGCATATATGTATATATATATATATATATTTAGGTCTTTTATGGCCAACAAATAAGGTACATTAGGTTACTTAGGCACTGTTGTTATTAAGTGCCATCAAGTCAATTCTGATTTATAGCGACCTTTTATATGATTTCCAAGGTGCAACTAGTGGGTTTGAACCGCCAACCTTGCAGTTAGCAGTCTAATGTTCATCTTACAGTGCCACACCAACACTCCTACTTAAGCCTAGAACCACACATTGAAGATGCTTTATGTAGAATTCTAGCAAGTGGATTAAAGAAATGTGTGATGTTAAGTAGTATACCATGGTGATAGAGCGACACCACTGGGGGAGCTGGTAAGGGGAGGAGGACATAGGTTGGCTCGATCATCTGGAGTTGGGCTTCACTCTGTCTAGATTGACTCTTAGCTTCTTAAAACCTTTTCTAATGTTTCTAGCTCTCAGTGAATCATGTTAGTTAGAATTTCTGTAATATTTAATTCTAATGCTTGAGTATTGTCATTTTGTCATCACTAAGTCCTGGTGCTGTGGGCTAATGTGCTGGACTGCAAAGTCATTTGAACCACAAGGTCAGTGCTTCAAGCTCACCAGCTGCTCCTTGGAAACCCTATATAGGGTCGCTATGGGTCGGAACCGACTCAGTGGCACTTAACAACAACAAGTGTTTTTCTAAATTTGTTAGGAGCTATAAAGAACAAAAAAATTAAAAGACAAATTCTCTAGAATTATACTGTCATCTTTCCAGTTGAATTACTTTCCAAATGCAGTGCTGTGACATAGTATTTTGTCTAAATATTCAAGGGAGGGGGATGGTGCATCATCTTTCTGTATACTCTGTATCCTTTCTAGAGATGAGGCTCATGATGAATTCTTCACTTATCACATGTTTATTCGAGGGGGATGTCTTTTAAAAAAATGTTGTCCACCTGCTGTAGCATTGTGGGGTGATGCAATGATTAGCAGAACAGATATTGCTTCTGCTTAAACAGATATTAACCAAATAATTATTATTTGATTCCTATGACAGAAAATTGTAGAATGTTAGTGAGGTTGTAATAGGACCTAATCTTGGTGGAGATATTGAGGAGGCTTTTTTCATGAAGTGTGTGAGACTTGCAGGGTAAATTGACAATAAGACGGAAGAACATTCCAGGCCAAAGGAGCAGCATATGTGAAGGTAGTGAAGCGAGAAAGTGCTTGATGTGTTAAAAAACTAAAAGAAGGCCAGTGCAGGAAGATCTGGAAGGGTTTGTGTGAGGAAGAAACATGATGTGTTTTAGCAGCCCCTCTTGGTGAAGAATGGATTGGCAGGGAAAGATTAGAAGTAGGGCAAGCAAGCTATTACTGTGTTCTGGGTTAGAGCCACTCAGAGTTGGTGGCAGAATTCATTGGATGTGGGGTGGATTGGATGTGGAAGAGAAAGGGAAGCTGATTCCAGGTTTTGAAGTTGAGTAGATGATGGTTTTGTTGTCTGAGATGGGAAAGACTTGGAGGAAGAATAGATTGGGGAGAAAAGGAAGAGTTTGGATTGAGTTGTTGGTATTGTTTAGTGACGGCCAGTCAATTCTGACTCATAGCAACCCTGTATCATATTTCAGAGGTGTGGCTAGTGAGTTCGAACCCATCTTGCAGTCCAATGTTTTATCACACATATCTTATTCCGCGAGTCATTTTGAGAAATGAAGGGATGGTGTGTAAAACCCTGGATGAAATTGATAAACAACTTCAGAATACATGATTGAGGCTTGTTAGGTGCCATCGAGTTGGTTCCACCTTTACCTTAGATATAATACAAGTTCAGTTCCAGACCACTGCCAATAAAGCAAGGTGTGTGTTGGTTTCCCAGTCATATAAAAGTTATGGTTACACTATCTTGTAGTCAACC